TCCCTGCTGCAGCATGCTGCCAGGCTTCAGCTCTTCAGAGCAGCCTGGGGAAGCAGGAATCAGGCACGCGCCTTCATAAACTGGTTAATTGATTACTGTCAGCCACTGATTACGTGAATCATCGAGCACATTGTGGCCGTGCAAAGCTGGGGAGGTCTGAGACATTGGTCTACCAAAAACAGCAGTGCTGCCGCTTGGCTTTTCCATGTGGGTGTGGAGGTGATCCCTGGACCTGCCGGCAGCTTGGCACCCACTGCATATGTTTTATGAGGCAAAATAAATGCTTGGGCAGAGGCAAAAAACGCCACCAGCCTGTGGGCACGGCTACACATGATCTGCCTGTGCTGACTGGCAGATAATTGCAGAAACGCTTGGGTTTCTTCAAGGCTGAGTGTGCCAAAGGCAGAAGAGCGATGTCAGGTGCAGGGGAGCGTGATGTGCACTTGGGGTCCTCGGCTGGGTCTCGTCTCCCCACAGCTGTGCGGGTCTACTGGTGGGCTCAGGGGACAGAGGGAAGGAGATGGTGCTGGACTGCACAGAGGAGGAGACTTGTGGTCCCTCCCAGTGTGATGGGGACAAAGGAGACCATGTCCTGACCCATCACCACAGCCGCCTACCAGCACAGGGAGTTTGCATACCTGTAGCTCAACTGGCCAGAGGCTCCACTGCACAGTCTGCTTGTATGCATAATGCATTTTCCCTGTTTCTCTGGTAGAAAGCAGCTGGTCCTGTGTGTCTGTCTGGGGGGAACACTGAGTTTCCTAAAGCCAAACAGCAAAAGTCATCTTGTGCAACTTCATACCTCAAACAGAAAGTCCGGGGCAAAAGGGAAATGGGAACCCATCCCTAAATACAATGGCTGGGGAGCGTTGACACTGGCTGACCTCCTTGCGAGCGTGGTGCTCAGCATGCCAGGGGATTGCTTGGTCCTCAACCGCCTCCTGTGCAGATGCCCATGCCCTGGTGGTTTCCTGGGGCTTGAGCCACAGACAGGCAAGTCAGCAAAGCCACCGATTCGTGCAGTGGAACGTCAGGCAGAACTCCTGTCGGCTAAGGTGCAAGCACAGGTTGGGCTGCTAGAGGACCACATCCTTCTCTCCACCGAGTCTGAGGTCCAGAGGGCTCTGTCTGAGGACAGTGGACCTCTTGCAGCCCTAGGCAAGTGTTTCCCAACAAGTCTGTGTCCTCCAGCCCCTCCCCTCCTGGACTCTAAATAGGAGATGTGGGAGGACAAGATAAATGGGGATGGGAGCGGGAGGCACAAGGGAGGTATCTCTGTGTAGCCAGAAACCCCCTGGGAGCTGGATTGGGGGACAGTAGCAGTTTCTCAGCCCTCCCAATTAATAAATCAATAACCTCAATAAAAGTGATGAAGACAGCAAAACCAAGACTGGACAGGGTAAGGAGGAGCGAGTCTGGTTCAGCATCGCTGCTGCTGTAGGAACAGCCGGGGGCTCCCCCTCAGCCCCCTGCAAACCTCATGGCCTTTGGGCGAGAGGCAGGGGGAAGGGGTTAAGGAAGTTGATGCCCTTTCCTATCTTTTCCTCTTGCAAAAACTGCCCTTTCAGCAGTTTCAAATACCAAGAGGTGTGGGGCTGGGCATCTTATTGACATCCCAATCTAGGGAGAAACCAACTCAAGGGTTAAAGTTTGAGCAGCTGAGCAAACAAGACAGCTCCTCCTTCGCTGTCATGTGAGCGTGGCTTCAGCTGAAGGCCAGGGGAAAAAAATTCATAAACGAAGGCTGTGGCTCCGGAGGAGGCTTGTGCTCTCGGGGCGGGCTGAGAGACGATGGATCTCCTGCCAAACTTTTCTTTTGTCACTTGGCTGCTCCTCATCGTTTTCCTTAGCCTCTTGGTCCTGTAAGTAGAGGCTGGGGCCCCAGGGTGACTGGGGAGGAGGAGAACCCTGTGCCTGCAGCTGGGGAGGGCCTGGGGCTGTCACCCTCGGTGCGAAGTGCCCAAGTACATGAATTAGTGTTAAAAACTCATCCTTGGTCTTCTGTGCTACCTTCGAGGCAGAGCTGAGGGGTGGTAAAGGGGGGCTGCGGGGCTCCCCCCATGCCCTCCCCACGCCAGCTGGAAGGGAAGGAGGAAGCTGGGCTGGGCGGGGAGGGAAATAAAAAGGAACTGCTTGATTATTTTTTTCTTTTCTTTTCTCAGCAGATCCAAAAGGAGAAGTAACTTCCATGTTTTTAATGGCAGCAAGCTCTGGTTAGCTGCAAAGGGGACAGTCTCCCTGGCTGAGCTGGGAGCAGGGCAGTGGGTGATGTCTATGTCTGCCCATGTACTTGTGCCAGCAGAAGCCCCCGTTAAAATAGTTATTTTGGCAAAATTGCCCTTTTGCTTATGTCACTCAGGGGAGCTGTAGTGAGCTATACAGGCAAAACTTAATTTTGCTGTTATAATTTATGTCCCTGCTCAGCTGCTGTGCTGCTGTGGCTCTACCACCTGAGCATTACAGTAGGTCTTTGCAAAGACAAACACAAGGGCAGGTCTCAGCTTGAGAACTTAATCCCTCTGAGGTCTCTTTTTGGTCACGTGGGTCACAGATCTCTGATCTGAAGAACTAAATGAGGCCCCTGAATAAAGATCTGAGGTGCCCAGGTACACTGTGTTTGCCTAGGCTGGGCTGCAGCTCCTTTCAGCCCTTGTTTTGTATCAAAATGTACCCTGAATTATCTTGTACCCCAAGTGATCCTGCGTGTATTGCAGGAAGAGAGTATCCTCAGCAGGTCTGCTGCTGCTGGTCCATAATTTCAGCTTTCTCTGGGTGGCAGGAACCAGCTATTTTAAACTGTTTACTGTGCCCAGGATGAAGAACCTTCTCTTTTCATTGCATAAATGCATCTCACATGCTCTTTGCTTGGCAGCTATGGGATATGGCCCTTCCAGACCTTCAAGAAGCTGGGCATTCCCGGGCCACGGCCCCTGCCTTTTTTTGGAACTTTCCTGGAGTACCGGCGTGTGAGTACAGGCAACTGCTGCTCCGTAGCTGCCTTAGCTTCTTACTTGTGGCTGGTGCTGGTTTTCCTATCCCTTAGGCATCTCTTTCCTCTGCCCTTGATTCAGTCAGATGGAAATGATGCTTTCAGGTAGGAAGTTCTTTGGACACACAGAGAACACAAAAATTACTTTTAGGGTCTGCTTGACCTGAATGAGGCGTGCTGTGTTTTTTAACTGCTTTGTAAATTAAGTTATTAGTTTCTCCCTGGATTTCTACCTGCTCCCCAGCAGCTGAAGTTCTGTTGGAAACAAAGAAAAAAATATTGGAGAGTTGCCTAAGACTGCTAATTTCTGAGAACTGCATGTTTCTTTGTGCTTTGTGCTGTCCCCATGAAGAGGCTGAATTAGCCCCGGCAATGCCCCATCCAGCTACTTGCTGTTGGGCCAGCCTGAGACTACGCCAGGCGAATAGATTTCTAAATAAAACTCAGATATTATCAAATTACTAAACCTTACCAAATAACTAGGTAGTAGCTGGTCCCAGGTAACTGACTGCAAATGGAGGACAAAATGTATTAGCTTCAGCTTCAATGAAAGAGATGTTTTAGCTTGTGTTTACTGGGCTTACAGCATGCATGTGGTCTCTTACTAATGGTTTAGTTGATGCATGGTGAGTGTTATGTGTCCCATAAGTTTCATCCTTACATGTAACATCAGTTAAAACCTTAATGGAAACAAAGCAAAACAAAAAAGCCATCATCACTCTGGTTCAGTAACTGCCGTGGAAGATCTCATGAGGACAAGGCAGTAGCAGCTCTAACTTGTTGAGATGAAGATGAAAGGACACCCTGGGATCTAGTTCTGCCTGCTAACTCTGCTCACACTAAAACTGTGTACCCTGTCATACCTTGTCTTCATTACATTTTTAGCTCAGGTTGGCTAGTGGAAGTTGAAAGCGCCTTTTTTTTTTTTCCCTCCTCTCTCTGCTCTCTTTTTTCCCTCCAGTGCAAATGTCCCCTAAGTGTCTACGTGACTCTTAAGAGCTTCCACGCACCCGCCCAACCTCTGACACATACGATGGGTCTGTGGGACGCACCGCACTGCCAGCTGTGACCTGCTTTGATCACTCTTTGCTGGCAAACTGTTCATTTCTCCTTTCTTCTTTTGCAGGGAATCCTGAATTTTGATCAGATGTGCTTTGAAAAGTATGGCAAAATCTGGGGGTGAGTTTCTTTCTGCAGAACAAAACTGCCTGTTTGGGGTGCTCCATAGCCCCAAAATAGAATGGAAAAAGGTATGTTGCCAGCATGTCTCAGCACTGTAATTCCAGCAGTGAAAGCTTGGGAAAATCCAGGTTCACCACTGGGCAGGTCTCCAGCCATCTCTCCAAGGCTTCTCTCCTGCTGGGATTTCAGTACGGTGTAGGGCTGGGATGACAGTGACCAGTTTGGGGGGTCATTTGTTTGTATAAGCTTTGAAAATAACCTTTTATTTATTTTCCCCTTTGGGAGCATTAAAAACTAAATAGCAGTGTTAGTGACCTAGGGGCCAGGGAAGCTTTGACAACAGAGAGCCCAGGGAGCTCCCCTCGTCCTCCAACACCCGCCAAATCGGCTCAGCCATACCTTTATCTCTCAGCTCCAGATGCATTAGTGAGGGAAGGCACCAATCATTTCCCAACCACGCAGCCTGCCCAGAAAACTCCACTGCTTGGTGTCAAACTGAGCCTCGTGCCTTTGAAGCTGCTCTTCTGTCTGTCTTGAGCAGAAAGTAAGCTGCAGGCTGCCGCGGTGTTTTTCATCTTGCTCCCTGCTTCTCCCAGAGCCGGGGCACGAGCTACGTTTCAACCTGCCTCCCCACTCCCTGCACAGCGCTGGTTTTGTGCAGGGGGCTCTTATCATGCTTCTCTTGGGAACCTCTCAAACTGAAGCAAAATTGTTGCACAAAAAAAATCCTAGGAGGCTTCATGAAACCTAGCACGTTTTTTTTAAAGATTAAAAGTTCTCAAGCCTCTTGAAGACAGCAGCTTCCCTCAGCTGTGGCCCAAGGCTCCCTGGCCTTTAGCCCACACCATGACTTTTAAGCTTTTCTGTCTCTGTTGACTGGAAAATGGAGGAGACAAGCAAGTTTTTCCCCTCTCATTGCCTCGTAGGCCATGCAGAGAAATCTCTTTACCCCACAGGTAGGCTATTCAGTGTGGATTTATTGACTCCAGCTACCAGTTGCGGAAACAGAGCTCAGACAGCCCAAGTGCAGGGGATCAATGTTGTGGCAAAAGCTGCCTTTTATCTAAACCCACACTGCTTTCGCAACTCTTTAATACCACAGATGATTGCTAGAAATGCTCATGCTGTCTGTGTTTGGCACTTTCTTTCCCTTTCTCCTGCTTTACTACATAATAAAACAGTTTCAGCCTCATCCCTTCAGCTGTTTTGTCAGAGGGGACTCAGCTGGCCCAAACCCTCTGGGCTCCAGCAGTCAATGTGCGTGGCTCTGGCCACAGACAAAGCAGGCTGCTTTTGATCCAACTGACCGTGAGCGATGGACTGACTGGGGGTTTCTCTTGGCTTAGGATTTTTGATGGCAGGCAGCCTGTGCTGGCTGTTTTGGACCCCATCCTCATCAAAAACATCCTGGTGAAAGAGTGCTATACTATTTTTACCAATCGCCGGGTAGGTATCTAGTCCTGTGCTTTCCTGTCCAGTACAGAGTGCATGGAGTAAGAAAGAAAGAATTTCGTCTTGGTTTCTGTTCTCCTTCTCTGAGCCCTTCAGCAAGTAGTTGCTCTCTGTTGTGCCCCAGTTTATTGATGGTAACAACAATGAAACTCTGCTAGGGAGGTGTAGAGGCCACTCTGGCTGGGACATTGGGACATCATCCTGGATGTACCCTACAACTGATGTAATTTATGACTCTTACACTTTTCTTTCCATTTCTGTTGTTTGCTGGTTGAGGTAGAGCTGATATGGCTTCAGGGGCCAAGTCAACACTCCATGGTGGTTTTGGGTTGGTTTTTTTTGCATTGCTGTCATGTGGAAGGGGGCTGGAAACCTTCACCCATGTCCCTGTATAACTGTGTCCCTTTTGCTGTAAAATTCTCCCCATGAAGAACTTTGGTCTGAACGGGATCCTGGAGTCGGCCCTGAATGTGGCTGAAGATGAGAAGTGGAAAAGAATTCGCACTGTGCTGTCTCCAACCTTCACCAGCGGGAAGCTGAAGGAGGTAAAGCAGAGGCTGCTGGTACTTTGCATCAGTAGCTGGAGGAGGACTGGGCCATTTCTGAGTACAAACCTTGCCCTCAAATGAGGAAGTCACCCCATTTGTCAAGACCACATTCATTATCACCTGCATTGCTGGGTGCAGTTCAGCAGCACAGTGGCTGTCTACCGCCATGGGGAGGGAGTCAGGAGAAGGGTATGGGGAATGAAATGGCACACAAGGTACTGCAAGCTGACGCTGTTGGCCCTATGACCTGTATTTTCTTCTTGCTAAGTGCATCACTCAGACCATGGGTGCCCATTTTCCATGTGCTCGAGAGCCATGTTCACTCACAGCTGGAGTGGAGGCTTAGCTGGAATAGGATCTGCATGTGGATTTTTGGAGAAGAACCTTGCTCAATCATAGTCAGATGAGCTCTGTGGACTAGTTATTAAGATGAAAGAAAGCAATGTCTGAGGCCTGGAAATAATACCTTCCCCATGCCTGCCCTTCCTCCACAAGCCAAAGACTTGGCAAGTCGCAGATGGCAGTGTGGAATTGCCCAGCCTTGTTTGGTGGAGGTGAAAGAGTCAACAGGGCCTTCTGCTTTGGTTTGCATTTCAGATGTTCCCTATCATCAATCACTATGGTGAAAAATTAGTGAAAAACATTGAGAAGAAAGTGGCTAATGATGAGTTTGTGACCATGAAGGAGTAAGTAACTGTATGGGGCTGACAGGAAAAAGTTGTATTCAGTGTGGGGAAGGGGCTGTTTTGGAGAGCCTTTTCCATGCTGCAGCATAGATCCCTTGTCAGCTATGGAGGCAAACTCCATAGTGGTCATGGGCATGGTATGTTTCTCAGCAGTGGGCTTGCTGTGCTCTGCTCTGCTCAAACGGGGTAGCTGTGCTCTGTTCCCCATTTCATTTTACTGGGGATGCATTTTGAGGAAGGAGTAGGGCCGCTTCCAGAAGCCCCGCAAGATGTGGTATTTTTGGATGTCATTTTTACAGTGTTTTACAGATGGAATTCAGAATAGTCTTTTTTAACCAGGACTGCAGTTCAGTGCTTTTCAACTACAGCCTAGGTTTTTGACACTGAGGAAAACTGGGGGATGAATGTAACTGGGGAAACCTGGGAAAATATAATGCCGGTTACTGCCAAATCAGGACAGGACCTACTATGTTAGGACTCTGCACTGAGTCCTTGATTAAAAGAGATTCCCTCTCAAGGGATTCCCTATCAAGGCTTCTTCCTAGGTGGGCTCTTATTCACTACTCTGGTTGGGTTCATCCTATTCATTTTCTCTTCTTCTCTACCTAGCATTTTTGGAGCCTACAGCATGGATGTGGTGGCCAGCACTTCTTTCAGTGTGAATATTGACTCCATGAGCAACCCCAGTGACCCCTTTGTCACCAACATTAAGAAATTTCTCAAATTCAGTCTCCTAAACCCCTTGTTCGTACTTTTAGGTATGACACACCTCATCTCATATAGCTGTGAATCAATGTCAGAGGTGGAGCTCCATTTCCTCGTAGCTCCCCTAGTAGCTCTGAGTCTTCTTTGCCACATGGGAGATGCTCAGCACTTTTCAGGATTAGATTCACCCTAGCAGGTCTATAGAAATATTTCCTCAGGAAAACCACAGTCAAGATTTGTATAGCCCATGTGGGTCTTTGCAGCATCCTCCTACAAGCAGAGACCCTGTTTGCAGAGATGGAGAGCCTCTCTGTCACAGAAAGCTGCATTTAGTGTGGCATTGTGGCCATATAGTGACATACGGAGGAGATTCTCAAGTGTTATTGCATCCCAGCCATGGTTAGGTAAAAAGAGAGCTGAAGGCAACAAAAAGCAATTTTTTGGGTCAGGGTCCAGACTTGCCCCTCTCCTTTCTATGCTTTGTGCCAGTTTTGAGTTTCCTTGCCGCCTTTGAGCTAAAATAGGTTGTTCTCTTCTCTCCTTTTAGTGTTGTTCCCCTTCATTATCCCAGTGCTGGAAAAGATGAAAGTGACTCTGTTACCCTCAAAGGTCATGGACTTCTTCAACGGCGTCTTCATAAAAATGAAGAAGGAACGGGAAAAGGGCAGCAGCACGGTGAGTCCAGCCCAGGTGGCCTCTTCTCTTCACTGTGCTGTCCTTCCGAGTGCAGGAGGAACCTGGTGGTGTCTTCAGAAGCTGTGGTGTATCACCTCCTCTCCATAAGAGCTCCCAGCTCATCAAATCTGGGGAGGGTCAGAAGCATGCCACGCCTCAGCTTCCACGTGGAGAAAGTATCTGTGTTCACAGAGGGTCTCCAATCTGAACCTCAACATGCACTGAAGCTGTGAGCCTGCTGGTGGGGCTGCAAATGGAGGAGGTGTCTCAGCAAGGAGCTTGTGCTGGACAAGGTTTGCCTCCTCCCCACCCATATCTGTTCTGACTGCCTCTGTTTCTCCCCAGGACCGGATTGATTTCCTGCAACTCATGGTTGACTCGCAGAGCTCACATGGCAGCTCCAAGTCTGCTGAGACTGACTCATACAAATGTATGTCTTGAGATCTGTCCTGCTCTCAGCAAGAAAGCATGGTAGTTCCTCGTGCGGTTAAAGGAGGGAAGTAGGAGAGGATTTTAGTCATTAATCCTACAGGAGATTCAAGGTCTCAGTAGTGGGGCCGTAATGGTGCTTATCACATATCAGCCATATTTTATTATATCCCATTTCCTGGGATAAATCCTGGGGTTTGTTTGTGCAACAAAGAGCAAACAGAGTGAATATCTCCTTACTCCCATTTCTTATTTTGTCTTCTCTGAAGGCCAGCGATGTTGGCTGTATTTCATAAAGCACACAAAGCACATGTGCTGCACGTACCTTGCTCATCTCTGAGCTCATCTCTGCTCCTCATCCTAGGTAAACTGTGAGATTTAGAAAATAATGGCTCAGCCAAGGTATAGTCCTAGTCCATCAACCTCAATCAAGGCAGAATGCTTGTAAACTTTTGAGATGCCAGGACAGGGTATTTGTATGGCACTCTGCACTGCAGGCTGCATCCTGGCAGCAGTTGGACACTACTGCAGTATCAGTGTTAAATCCTGTATTGTCCTTATTACCACTGCTGCACTATGCTCAGGGCTACTACTCCCTCAGCAGCACAAGGCTCACCTCATGGCTTAGAGGAACTGCTGGACATCTCTTCATCTCTAACTTTTCCTGGCATGTGCCCCTATTTTTTTTGGCCCAGGAGCATGGTCCCAGAAGAAAACAGGGACTTTCTAAATCAGGCTCAGGCTGCACGTACCTTGATTCTGTTCTTAAAGGCAGCAACATAACACTGCTGGTCTTGACACCAGTTTTCTGGCTGTACAACAGTGCCAGACCCACCCCTTTGTGGTACCCAGGTTGCCAGTCGATGTTAGGTGGATGTTTCTTTTACCAGCTGCTAAGTAGTTATGAACAGCATTACCTAGATTGACGAGTGAGATCCTGAATTCCCAAGGGTGAACCACTGTAGGTTTCAACTTCTTGCATGTGTTTTTATGCCTCGTTTTAGCATTAAGTGATGAGGAGATTCTGGCCCAGGCTCTTATCTTTGTCTTTGCTGGTTATGAGACCACCAGCTCCACCCTCAGCTACATATCATATAACCTGGCCACCCACCCTGATGTGCAGCAGCGACTCCAAGATGAGATCGATGTAGCCCTGCCCAACAAGGTAAAGGAGGGTGGGGAGATGCTGGGGTTGTTCCCACCTGTGCCTTGTAGACCTTGAGCCAAAAGCCAGGTTGGAAACAAAAGAGTGAAGGAGATGCTGGCACTGAGATTTCCCCTCCTCTGGTCTCTGATGCCTGAAGGGGAAGCACTGTGGGGGTGTTGTGGTGGGGGTTGAAGTCCCATGTTCATAGCCATCCTGATTCCTCTCCCCAGGCTACTCCCACGTACAATGCCATCACGCAGATGGAGTACCTCGATATGGTGGTGAATGAATCCCTCCGGCTCTTCCCCCCTGGGGGCCGGATTGAGAGGGTCTGCAAGAAGACAGTGGAGCTCAATGGTGTGACTATTCCAAAGGGTATGGTGGTCATGATCCCAGCCTACGTGCTGCATCGTGACCCGGGGTACTGGCTGGAGCCGGACGAGTTCAGGCCTGAGAGGTGAGGGCCAGACAGGGGAATAGCTACATGCTCAACCTCAGCCCTGGGAGTGGAAATGGCAGTGAAAGTGGGGAATGCATGATTGTAACATTTAAATTAGGCATTTATCACTGTCTGACATCTAGTCCCAGCATTACCGTGAGGGGAGTTTTATGATCTACATCCATAAACTGTGCATGGAATTTAATTAACTGCATTGAAGGGAGCGACAGTGAGAGCAGCTCCCAGCAGCTGTAACACTGAGGGGTTTATGGCCAGATATTAAAACAAGAGCCATTGGGTGACTGGCACGATGCCGTGCAAATCAGCAGTGGAAGGGCAAAGATGGGTAGGAAATAAAACTTAATTTTTCAACTCAAGTTATGAAACAATCCTTGCTTAGTAGTCTCTGTCAGACCCTGTGAAATGCAGCAATAGCCCAAGGCAGACCTGGGAGACCCCGGGCCTGCTAGTCTTCAGGTAGCCACGAAGATGTTGAAGGCTTGTCCAGAGAGAGCAGGACCAGATCTGTGCCTTTGCACCAGGAGTCGAAATGCCCCTGGAAGCTAACCCCACTGTGGGGATGTGACGACCTTTGGGACAAAACATGGCAGCAGTATCAGGCAGAAGTTAGGGAGGGAGATGGGTGCTGCTGAAATCACCTATGGACTCCTATGGTCACCTTGTGTTGAATGCAGAAGGAGCCACCCAAACGGGAGTACTCTGGCAATGGGCATGCTACACCAGTTGCTCCAGTAGCTGCATCCTTACTCCAGTTGACAAACTGGGCATGGGTAGCCAGACAGGAGCTCTTTAGGGATTACTTGCTTGCTGGGAGTTCATCAAAGAGATGTGCTGGTGTTTCAGTAGCAAGATACTTCACCGCTGACTTAGCATGGCTGAGGTTTGTACCTAGACCTCATGCACCGGGAATGAAAAGCTTTCTGACATGAAAACTAACTGATCACTAAGAAGTATTACTGAAAATGCTCAGTGGCAAATTTCTCTGTGAAGCTGATTGTTCTTCCCTGTTTTTCATGATGAGGAGAGGAATGGCTGGCACGTCTCAAAAGCAACCCTCCCTTTAGTCATGCAGGGGGAGAATGTCTTTGTGTTTGCTCAGTCCTTTGATCTAAAGGGAAGACATGAAGCTGTAGACCTGTGTGTTTTAGGGTTTGAAACCTGGGTTCAGTTTTTGAGCTGAGAGGGAGTTCTGAGAAAAGAGTAGTTATGAAATCCATCAGCATATTTCAGGTATCCCCTGTTCACCTGATGCACCTGGAGATGCACAGTCAACTCCAAGCAGCAGGATAAAAGCAGAGGCATAAGGTATCCATTGAGACAGAAATAAGGGACTTAGCTGGGTTCTTCTAATACATACAGAAACACAAAAAGCTTTTGCCTTCCCAGACCTCTCATCACTTCAGATCTGAAAGCTGACATATCCTGGAACAGTAGCTCTTTCTAACTTTTTTTTTTTTATTGTAATCAGGTTCAGTAAAGAGAGCAAAGGGTCTATTGACCCCTACACCTTCCTGCCGTTTGGGGCTGGCCCCAGGAACTGCATAGGAATGAGGTTTGCTCTCCTTGTCTTGAAAATGGCTGTGGTCGTCCTGTTGCAAAACTTCTCGTTCAGAACCTGCAAAGACACTCCGGTGAGGATATGGCATGATGTGTTTTATTATCTGCCCTGTAGTCCCACTGAGATGGTCCTGCATGCTCTCTCTTGCCTACATCTCAGGACAAACAGGGAACTGTCTCTCATGCACATTAAAACCCTCTCTTCCCTGAGGAGTTCAGAGACCGCTAGCTTCAGGACCACTGAACCTTGCCTGCAGACTTGAGTTTTACTACTTCACACAGAGATCAGGGAGGAAAATTTCACTGTGGATTAGAGAGGCATATGGGAATAACTGTATTTAAATCTTCTCAGTTAATTTAAATGGTTCACCACAAGTTACTGATACATTTTTTTTAAGCCTCTACAGAAGCAAATTTAACGTTGGTGAAATATGTCAGGCTGAAATCCCTGAAGTCCTCTGCCTCTCTTTGAGTGCACCTAAGTTGTGGGGTGCTCACTCCCCCATGGTGCACTGCCGGTCTGCCTTGACCTGGCTTAGGAAGACCCTGCTCCAGAGAGCAGAAAGGGAATATCCCCCCAGCCCACCCAGCCCGCTCCAAAGCTGCGCTTTGCAACACAAACAAGGCTATTCTCTGTGAGAGATCCCAAGACACAAAAATTCATCTCTTAGGGGCCACCAGGCAGTCTCTAAAGGGTAGCAATTTTCAAGCAAGTGCAGTCTGAGCTAAATTTGAATTGGCAACCCTCTCCCCCTTTGAGGCTATGCAGGATCCCACGAGGTTTCGCCTGTGACCCCAGTGAATGCCGCATGTGGTATTGATGGGACAGGCCCTGCAAGACAGGGCCGTTCGTTTGACATAAAGTAAATGCGATGGCTGTTGGAAATTATACGTCAAGCAAGCCGTCCTGAAAACATGGCAACTCCCTGTGACTCAGAGGCAGGTAGCACTATGTTTGGTGTTAGTTTCCAGCCCTGACCCTGCTTTCTGCACTGACTGCCGCAAAAGGCTGTGCCATTAATACATTTCCTTCACGAGGCGAGCTTGGGAAATCAGAGTAGAGGGGACAGCAAGTGTATTCAAAGGACATTTGTTCTAAGAAGCAGAAAAATCCTTATTAAATTATTACTTGGCACGGGTGCTCAGCTGGAATCTCTGCAGATTCAGATTGCAACTCAACTAGTAACCTGGAGGTGAAAGACTGTAATAGTCCATTAACAATGCAGTGACCTATCCACCCTCCCCCAAGTCTAATGACATTTTTCTAGTCCTCTGCAATCCATAAAATTGATTCTTTTTATAACTGCCTTTAATTAAAAGGAGACAAGTTAAATATGTATTGTATTATTGGTGCCCATAGGTTTATGGGGCTCTTTCAGCCCTTTTTTCTACAGAAGATGTCATGTACATCAGATCAGAGCGGGAGGGAAAAATTCATGCTGGAATATCCCTTTGGAATATGTATATGGAAGCTGCAGCCTCCTCTCACTCCTCCACTGATGGCACATTGGGCTCCGAGCCACATTGCTTAAATTTCCTGAAACAAAGCTTACTGGGATGTGGGGATTTTAATGTAGCTTGTCAGGCTGGGTGTGTATCACCCTTGTCCTGATGGGGAGAAGGAGAGCTGGGATATGAGCAGCATCGAATTGATGGAGGAGACTTGGTAAAACACTCTTCCCTCCCCTGCAAGATGACTCCCTCCAACACCCGCTTTAAATGTTCTTTTTATTGAGATTTCTAGTCTACCCCATGGGAGCTCGTTGCTTTTGTGTGCGAGGATGGTTTTTCTTTGGTACTCAGTCTGAGCAGCAATCTTAGTTTCGTTCTTCCCAGAGAGCTTATTGCTCCTCCAGCTCCCATTACGATTTAGCTCCCCTTAGCGCTGACACACTTCAGCATTAAACAAAATGGCACTGCGTGCCCCTCCTTAGCTGCAGCTCCCCGGATGAATTTTGGCTGCTTTTCCCTCCACGTGCATCCTGTTGATTGGTGCACTGAGCTCTTCCTACCATGCCATGTGAAAGCCAGAATTCGCTAACTAGTTTATTCAAGAACTGAGGACTATTAAACCCCAGTTCGTAGCTGTTTTTCATGAGCAATGGTGATAGTCCTGCTATAAGTACACCTCTAAATTAGGAAATGCATTGAAAACAAGGGGTGACTGCAATGTATGTGGGCCGTAGGGGTCCTGTTGGCGTCATGACTGTCCTTTTTCCCAGCTTACATGGCTATTTTGGTTTTTTTTCCTCCTGCTCAAGATCCCGCTGGTTCTGGACACAAAAGGTTTCATGCAACCGAAGCAGCCCATTGTCCTGAAGATGGTCCCCAGAACCCATACGGATCTGGAGAAATGAAGGAAGCAGGAACAGATTGGAGACTCTTGTTTGATGGTGCCTCCTCTAACTCTTGAGAGGAGACCCAGACCGATGTGTGCGCTGTAGAAATGTCAGCGGTGCCACCCCCCATTTCACAACAGGGCATTAGGAGTTTGGCCCAGCATAATTACATGAGCATTATCCTAATGAACACGAGCCCCAGATCCCGCTGTCCCTGCTTACAATAGGCATTTTGCAAGACCATTTGCACTCAAGTTATTTGGGCATTTTTTTCTCTCCTTCTGAAGAGGCACTTTTCTAGCAATTTGATTCCAGACACTGTCAGTCTCTTCTGGCAGTGTAATTTAAATCAAGATAGGGAGAGCAAATTGCACATAGTTAAGTAATGCTACCATTGCTCCTATTCCTACTGCCTGCTGGGTGACGCTGTACGTCTTCTGGTTTTATTCTCCTGGGAATGCAGAGTTGTCCAGGGCTATTTCCTCAGCTGTGTGCTATGACCCTGACAAGTGTTAAAGTGGCCACATCCTTGCAGGAATGAACGCTTGCAGCAAATTTTCTGATGCTGATTTATTTAGATTTTCTTATGATTTTAGATGGCTTTAGTGTGATTCAGATTGCAGATGAGTTAACTGGAGGAGCCCAGAGACAAGCAGTTACCCCTAATGACTGAAGATTGGTGGAGTGGGAGAGAAGTGCCCCGCATGTGTTTCCTGATTGTTTGCTTATTTTACTGTGGGCGTGCAGCCATCTCCCATAGAAGGGATTGTCAACATAGGCACCATCTATACTGCTGTCACGACACCTTTTAGTCTCTGATTTATATTAGGCCTTTGTAAAACCAGCTTAACTGAATTAATAATGATGCAGAGTGCAGCACTGAGAGCCTTCAGATGTCCTGGAGAACCCTAGTCTGGAAGTAAGGTGTTGCCTTTTGGTATTGAGAGCTGGAAAGTCTTGCTAGACTTTGTCATTTTTGTAGATTTTAGAAGACCTGCACACTCACATTTCATATTATTCCTCCAGAAACTGCTACTGGAGGGCTAACTGCAATAAAAAGCTCACGTACCTCTTCTGTAACCAACTGATGCCAGTCTCTGATTCTGTTTTTTCCTTTATACACAAGTGAATCCATCTGTAGCTCTCATAAGCCATTGGCCAGACAATGATGTGGTCTCATCACCTCTCCCAGCTGGGCTTCCTCACTTCTTTGGTGGGGTTTTCAAAGGATCCTGAAAAATCTGTGCCACAGAGTGGAGACAGAAGTCCTCTTTTGCAGTTCATTCTTCTACTGTCACCTTGTAGCACCACAAATTACTGAGGGTGCAGTTTTGCTAGTCTCAGCCAACATTTGTCTTTCTGTGAAAGCAGAGGGGTTTGATTCCAGCATCTTCTCCATGCTGCAACCAGCTGAGCTCATGCAGGGTTCAAAGAGCCCTCCATGCTCTCTCCTAAACACCTCATGCACCTGCTTCAGTGTACCCTTCCGCAGGAGGATGTCTTCTGCTTCCAAGCTGTTCAAATTTCAGCGCTGGGTGAAATATTTACATGTGTGTATATATCTAACCCAGTCACTACTATGTATAATGCTGCTTGCATTCCTGGAGGATGAAAACACATTATAGCCTGAATGAATCCAAGGCATTACTCCATGTGTGTCATCAGTAGTAGGAACTGTTTCTGGAGATGCGGCATTTAAGATATCCAGTCCAAAATAAATGGCTGAGCAGAGCCATTGATGGTGTGGGGTGTTTTCCATTGCAAAATTGGGCTGAGGAACTTTAGGCACTAGACAGCAGGTTTTATATTTCTTGTATATTCTTAGATAGATAGATAGATTATATATATTATTATATATTCTTTTTACATTTCCTTTCTTTATTTTTGAGGAATTGAGTAGAAAAACCCAAAAGAGACATAATAACTTTCCTGCAGCAGATTAAATTCCCCAGTGAAAGACACCCTTGCCTGGAAGTGTAAGGGGAAGAATAAAGCTGCTTCTCTAGGGAGTCACTGATGAGCTGGGTGAGGGGGTTAGAAAATTCCCAGCAGCTCGGGCAGCCATAGCTTCCCCTTCTGCCTTCATAACCTGCAGCAGTGCAGCTCCCTTCTGCCACCAATGTACAAAAGCAACAATTCGTCTTCATTTTCAGCTGTTACTGTCCCTTTTTTTAAAGCCATGTCACTGCATTTGACTGTGATGGCACATCTCAGGGGAGAACGACAAAATATAGAAGCAGTCAGAGCCCTGGAGGACAAACAGCCGAAAAGTGCCTGCACCGTCACAGCAGTTCACAAGAAGGGGCATGGAAAATCCTCAGGTCTCTGCCTTGAGAGGTGACCGAGAAGATGAGGGTGACGAAGTCACACACAGTGTCACAGGTCAGAGATGAATTAATAACCTTGCTGGAGCAAAGGCCATAACTTGCCTGGTGGCAGTGAGGGAAGGGTTTTGCCTCCTCGCTCCATGCCTGTGTTGGAATTAATCACTCACATACATACAAATGTCAACACTGTGGAAAACATCCTTCAGGATAATCTCTCTCACAAAGCTGCTTAACATTTTGGTAATATACAGTTCACTTGCAGGTGTCAAAGGATTTCAGCCTCTCTCATCTCTGTTCAAAGGCGTCTTCATCTGCTGGCACGCTGTGCCGATGAAGCAGGCGAGCAGACTGCTGTGACCGGCAGTGCCGATGTACCTGCGGAGAGACCAACCGGCAAACGCACAGCACTGCTTTATCTCCTGGCACCTGCGCGGGATTCTGGCAAGGGACAAAATGATGCTGAGGTGTGCCAGATCTCTTCTTCATTTCACTGAATTCGGTCATGCTTAAGAGCAGAAGGTGCACACCTTTGCCAGTTCCTGCTTGTCTTAGAGGGAGGTTTGCCACCAGATTTTGGCTTTGTGGAGTGGCTGGAGGGAACCTTGCAGTGGGGAATCACTCAGATACAGTGAGTTTTCCAGCAGGCACAGCACACAAGACTGTTTCTTGGCTTTATTCCAGACTGAGCAGCCATTTGGGGGTTGTTCTGTGTGAACCCTTTCTGGTCTGATTTCCAGAGGTAATGAGCATGCACCACTCCCCTGTAGCTAGAGGGAAATAGAGCTGTGCTCTTCAACAGCTGTGTGCCTCAGTTTACCTGCATGTAAATTTTCTTTAAAAATTATTTACAGCTAGGCCATAGTGAGCTTTGCTGTGCATCCACCCGATGCCATGCTTTGATTCAGATCACAGCAAGGTCACAGAGTGAGCAAATGGATTTCCTTTTGGATGACACTAAAGCAGAAGTGCTCCAGGAGCTCGTCTAACGTGCTCCAGCTGCTGACAGCTTGAAGCAAGTCTTCTATTCCCCCCTAAAAAATGTGTAAGATGAATATAGAGCCCTCAGCATCAACTCCTTTGCTCTACATATCCCCCTCCTATAGCACAGCACTGCTTCCTAATGCAAACATAGCTTCAGCTTAGCAACAGCTCCTTCTGTAAGGATAGTCCACCATCAAGTTGCATCATTCAAATCTGGCCCCATTCCCTTGTGCTTCAGTTATTTAAGCTGGTTTCAAACAAGAGCACCCACTTGGACTTAACATGGTGCTCACTCATTGAAGTGGTATCACTGCCAGGCTTAACATGTGCTTAAGTGCTTCACTGGCTCTTGGTCCTCTCCCATCTCTGTGCAAGCTGGCAAGCGGGAGGTCCCCAGTGCCAGTTAGAGTGGTCATGCTTGCCACAATTTGCAAGGCACTTGGAGCTTTCCTGACCCTGACCCAGGCTTACATAGAGGTTGTCCGTATTATTGCTGCTGCTGGACCCACTGCTGAAGAGAGACAGGCCTCCAGACACCCTTATTGAATGCTCGATTCGGTTAAAATCGATGGAATAATCTGCCCACAGAGTCTGCCCAAAGGTCAGGAAGCAGTGATTTTTTCCTGCAGCAGCTTTCGTCCTGAGCTCTTGTTTTAGTGTGAGGATTGCAAGAAAAAGCACTTCAGCAGGTAGGTTATAAAAGTGTTATGACTGCTGGTATTAAGCTGACAGGCTAATGTAACAAGTGCATAACAAGGTCTCCTAAAATAAAGAGGTAAAATTCTTTGCAGCGCTTGTTTCTTGGACAACTCAAAAATGAGCTGGTGATGGACACGGTGCAGGTTGACCTGGTGTCCTGCAAGGCAAAATGCAGAAGAGCCTCAAAGGGGAGCCCACCAGCGTGGAGGAGGTAGAGGATGCCAGGAGAAGGGATGCTGGACCACAGGACAGGACCAGGTGGAGAGACCCCCTCTTTCTCACCCCATTCTATCCTATAGCCCCAAAGTTCATCCCCCGCAACCTCTCCCTATCTGTCTGTCACACAAAGACACCTCTGTGGCTCCTCAGTCCCGTGTGTGCCGGCAGCAGTCATCTGCAGTGTCAAAGGACACGACAATGTCGCCTTAACGGGAGGACCCGTCTTTACCCCTCTAATCATTCAGGCACATGCATGCTGGACACACGGCATACCGTGGACTGAATTTGCAGAAACACTTTGATCTTTCATTTTTAAGCCCAGCGATTCAATCCCCCACAGAGCTAAGGTAAACGGCTGCAATGCTGCTTTGGTGGATTCAAGGTTTCAAGTCAAACAGCAGTCATTTAACCACTCTTTTAAAGTTCATATCATTTGAATGTCATATGTCAAACTGATGCTACTTCCACTGAAGGCAAATAGATGTTTATTCCCCTCACAGCTGGCCAGCAGTCTGACATTCATTATTGAAGCCTTGCAGCTGCCAGGGATTGAAGCTACCTGTAGGAGTGTGTCTATCAAAGCCTTCCACCTCTTAAGGGTTATTCCCTGTAATAATATCAGCTCATACGTTTTAGTTCAGGCTCATTTTACAACTGCTGTAGGTTTGCAGTTGTTTTTTTCCTATGTCTGGGCAAGGTCAGGCATTGTTTTTTGCCCATTCCCTCCAAAATTATGTTGTTACCTCATTTTTCGTGGCTTCTCCTGAGTTGAGACTCACCGTGACTGTGCAC